ATAATATGTGTTTTATATATACCCAACAGTGCTCCAATGCAGCCCTTCAGTTCAGCTACCCAAATATTGCTCCTGCTGCACCTTACTTGGCTTTTGGAGCAGCCTTCCTTTCTCCAGCTAATTGTTGCTATCAAGCAAGTTAATATAAAAAAAAAAATGCTTTTACTAGGAGGATTCAGGCTACTTTTTTGGGGACTAATCCAGTTCAAAAGCAGAGGTCTGTAGCCCTTTGAGCATCCTTCTGCACCATTTTTTTAGGACTTGCTACTTCAGTCCTGGTTTATCTTTTTGCACCTTTAATTATTACTGTAGTGGGGAGGCATATGATAAGAGTAACTACAGTATTAAGAATGAATTTCCTTGGGAAATCTTATCACTTCAGAATATTTTTTTATTATTATTTAATTTGGCAGTGTGTACACATTGATTGGAGCCAAGTTATTTTATATTGCATCTGATACAATTCTAGCGAGTAAGTACTCCTGTGTTCTTTTTATTTTTCCAGGCTAATTTATTCTAAAAAGAATTCCTTGGTTCTTAGCTGAGATTTAACCAAATTTACTTGCCTGTGAGTTAAGGAAAGGAGGAGGAAAACATCATCCTTTATCAACTATGCTCTGTTCACATCTGCAGACCGGCTGCTTTGTATTCTTGCACTTGCACATAGTTTTTATTCTGTTATTTAAATAATAACTATATATTTTTAAAGCGGCCTTCTCGGTTGTTGTGGCCGGGGCACTGCACAGGCAGAGAGCAGATCCCCGTCCCCGCGGCGCCGAGGGTGCCTCTCCGCCCGGCACGGCCTCGCCTGTGCGCCTACAGTCGGAGCAGCCTGTGCGCCGGTACCGCCGGCTCCCCGGGAACGTGGTGCGTTTCGCCCAACAGCCGCACGGTTCTTTGCTTCGCTGCAGCTGCAAGAGCTGCTCTCCCACCCTGCCGAGAGCAGAGACGTGGCCAAAATGCTGGATTTGAAGAGCCCTAGGTAGGGTAAGCCCTAAATCGGGAGAGCTGCCTCGGTTTCTGCTCGGTTTCTTCCTCCCCACCCCCAGGCGAGCCTGGATGTATGAATAGCTTTTGTTCCTTGTGCTTCTCGCCGTCAGCCCGCGCTCATCCTTGCTGTTACACCGAGAAACGGAACTGAGCACGCAGAGATTTAGTCAAAATAGAGCGTGTCGAATATGTATGTGTGTATAATGGTAACTAATGTGTAGCCAGCTGAGCATAATGTTTAGTAGTTTAGGCTGTTGACTGTGCAGAAAAAAGTAGAAAAACAGGGAAACTAGATCTTGTATTTCATCCAAGGGACAAAAGAAGAAGAAAGGGAAAAAAAAATCTCTTTTTTTTTTTTAGTTTATCGTGTGCATAATTTCCAAAGTATAGTTAAGACTGGCCTATTCTCAAGTGCTTTAGTTCTAGTGGCAAAATGCTTGTTACTGAGTTGTATTAGACAGTTACAATTATTAGTATTGTATTAGACAATAAAACTGTATTTCGTAGTTGTATTCTGTGAAAATGAAATAAAGTTGGAGGGAAAAAATCATGTTAAAATGATAATTTGCCTGTCTCTAGATGCCGTGGACTTAATTTTTCTGTTTGAATAAGAGAATCTCACTATTCTGTTTTTTTTTAAGCTCTTCTATTTAATACTCCATTAACTTTTTTGTTGAGAAATCAGTCCTTTGCTGTGAAGTATAACTCTCATTTTAATGTTATCATCAGGCAGCAGTAGGACATTGGTAATGGCGAAGAAAACAGAATCCCATCTTTAAAACAGCTATGGCAAATACATGTATCTATCATATCACTGACGATACAAGTAGGTCTGTAATGAGCTTAGAGGTAAGCCTGGCTCTTTGAAAATGACCTAGCTTTCTCTTTGCATAAGAGACACCAGTTTACATGTTAAAGAATGACCCTGGTCACTTAATAACTGGGCTAGAGGATAGTGGAGAAAAAATGTCAGCAATTTTATTTTATTTTATTTTTTAAAATGTTTAATCATTTATCTGACACGTTCAGTTCTGGGGGACTGAAGTCTGAGCTCTGGCTCAGCAGTTTAAAGAAGAACAGCAGAACCCTGCTTGGAGGGAAGGGCTGATCCCCTCCTTCCCTGAGACTCATTTTCTGACAATTTTAAC